ACTATTTTCTTTGCACTCATTAAATAAACCTTTCGGCATGAGTAGTGAATGACGTTTATTTTGTGTGTTCAATTGGTACAAAGCCGTATAATAAGCAGACACAAAGTTGAAAAAAATCCCTCTCATCTTTCTTCAGGTGTGAGAATTGTATACTTTCTGGATTAGGACAAACAATACTAATATGGATTGATGGGGGTAAATGGTGTAAAGAGAAAGTTTGTGCTAACTACATTCAGAAGAGCTCAGACGGACCTGATACAGCGGTCCAGATCCAGTCCCAGCTAAACGTAGCTAGGACTGGATCTGGATGCTCCACAGTTGGTCCAGCGAAGTGTTTTGAAAAAACATGTGCCCTTTTTAACCTTTTCATGAGAGAAATTCTGCCGACCACAAGCACCCACCTGGTCTGATCTGGTCCTGGTCTGGTCCTGGTCTGGTCCGATGTTGTGGTTTAACGAACGGGTTGAATGTTACTTTCATATAGTCCTTTTCAGAGTATCTGAAATCGCTCCGACAAGCACCATAACTGCAGTGTTTTGTTGTCACCATGATTCAATGATTTAGCCCAAATAAATACACACGCGTATGAGGAGAACACAGTAGAACTCAACGAGTCGTACACAATGTTTGTCCGAAACATGCGCGCATGCGCAGTCATCTGAGCTATTTTTAGCACATTTCGGAAACCGGACAGTGCCCTATTGAGAAACATTCAGCAAAACATTTTTCAACTTTTATTGAGTTCCGTCTGCCTGTTGCTAAATGATTAGACACTTTATTTAGCTAATTTATATAAACCATGTCTGTTGATAAATATAAATACTAAAATCATTCACGTAAACATGCTAGATTTTAATACCAAGAGCTATTTTCCCACGGGTGCATATAAACAATACAACAATAAGGTCACATTCCCATGACCCATTGTTGCACGCGATCTAATATTGCACGTAACGCGCTGTCCCATTGTCTATTACATGGTGTGATGATTAGACTTTTGGAGATAACCTCTTCAACCTGCACCAGTGAACTGGTCGCACCCCCTTAGCATCTGGGAGCCTCTTCTATTCAGTAAAGGATCTACATCCTCAGTCTTGGATCGACAGTTTTGTGCACTGAATTGGGCTGTACCTGCATGAAGTCCTTGGAATATTTTCTCCAATGAAATGCGAGTCTTATTATATGTATGTACAGACCTTTCACTTAAAAATATGATATGATTCAAGTGTGAATGGAATACACAGACACAGGGAGAACATGCAAACTCCACTCAGAAAGGCCCTGTTTCGACCAGGATTTGAACACAGGACTTTCTTGCTGAGAGGCGGGAGTGCTATCCACTATCCAGTGTAATAGTCCAGTCCTCCCCCCTGGACTTCCACCTTAACGTGGTGGGGGAGTTTGAGTACTCGGATGATCCTGGGAGCTATGCTGTCTGGGGCTTCATGCCCCTGGTAGGGCCTCCCATGGCAGACAGGTCTCAGGTGACGAGTCAGACGAAGAGCAGTCCAGAAGACACCATGGACAGCACTAACACGAAAACAGTGACGTCGCCCGGCATGGCGCAGCCGGGGCCCCACCCTGGAGCCAGGCCTGGGGTCGGGGCCCGTATGCGAGCGCCTGGTGGCCGGGCCTTAGCCCACGGGGCCCGGCCGGGCTCAGCCCGAAGGGATGACGTGGGCAGTCCCTCCTGTGGGCCCACCACCTGCAGAGGGGTCCGTGGTGAAGCGGTGCAGAGAGGACTGGGCGGCAGTCGAAGGCGGAGACCTCGGCGACCCAGTCCGCACACACAACATCTGGCTCTTGGGACGTGGAACGTCACCTCACTGGGGGGGAAGGAGACCAAGCTCGTGGGGGAGGTTGAGCGATACCGACTAGAGATAGTCGGCCTCACCTCCACACACAGCTTGGGCTCTGGAACCCAACTCCTTGAGAGGGGTTGGACGCTCCACTTTTCTGGAGTTTCCCGCGGGGAGAGGCGGCGAGCTGGGGTGGCCATTCTCATTGCCCCCCATCTCAGCCGCCACGTGTTGGAGTTCTCCCCGGTGAATGAGAGGGTCGCGTCCCTCCGCCTCCGGGTGGGGGACAAGTCTCTCATTGTTGTGACGGCCTACGGGCCTAACAGCAGTGCAGAGTACCCGGCCTTCTTGGAGTCCTTGGGAGGGGTACTGGACGGTGCACCGCCCGGGGACTCCGTTATTCTCCTGGGGGACTTCAACGCCCATGTGGGAAACGCCAGTGACACTTGGAGAGGGGTGATCGGGAAGAACGGCCCCCCTGATCTGAACCCGAGCGGTGCTCAGTTGTTGGACTTCTGTGCCAGTCGCGGTTTGTCCATCACGAACACCATGTTCGAGCACAAGGGTGTCCACCAGTGCACGTGGCACCAGGACACCCTAGGCCGGAGGTCGATGATCGACTTTGTTGTCGTATCATCTGACCTTCGACCGCGTGTCTCGGACACTCGGGTAAAGAGAGGGGCGGAGCTGTCAACCGATCATCACCTGGTCGTGAGTTGGATCCGCTGGCAGGGGAAGAAGCCGGTCAGACCTGGCAGACCCAAGCGTGTAGTGAGGGTCTGCTGGGAACGTCTCGCTGAGCCCCCTGTCAGACGGACTTTCAACTCACACCTCCGGGAGAGCTTCTCCCAGGTCCCGGCGGAGGAGGGGGACATGGAGTCCGAGTGGACCATGTTCTCTGCCTCAATCGCCGATGCGGCGGCTCGTAGCTGTGGTCGCAAGGTCTCTGGTGCTGGTCCCGGCGGCAACCCCCGAACCCGGTGGTGGACACCGGCAGTAAGGGATGCTGTCAGGCTGAAGAAGGAGTCCTATCGAGCCATGATGGTTCGGGGGACTCCTGAGGCAGCTGTCCAGTACCGGCAGGCCAAGCGTGCCGCGGCCCGGGCTGTTGCAGAGGCAAAAACCCGGGACTGGGAGGAGTTCGGAGAGTCCATGGAGCATGACTATCGGTCGGCCTCGAAGAGATTCTGGCAAACCATCCGGCGCCTCAGGAGGGGGAAGCAGTTCTTTGCCAACACCATGTACGGTGCGGGTGGAGAGCTGCTGACCTCGACTGGGGATATTGTCGGGCGGTGGAAGGAATACTTTGAGGTTCTCCTCAATCCCCCCGTCACGTCCTCTGTTACAGAGGCAGAGGCTGAGGATGTTGGGGCGGGTACATCCATCTCCCTGGCTGAGGTCACCAAGGTGGTTGGTAGCCTCCATGGTGGCAAGGCTCCGGGTGTGGATGAGATCCGCCCTGATTATCTAAAGTCTCTGGATGTTGTAGGACTGTCTTGGCTGACACGTCTCTGCAACATCGCGTGGCGATCGGGGGCAGTGCCAATGGAGTGGCAGACCGGGGTGGTGGTCCCTCTCTACAAGAAGGGGGACCGGAGGGTGTGTTCCAATTATCGTGGGATCACACTCCTCAGCCTCCCCGGTAAGGTCTACTCCAAGGTACTGGAGAGGAGGTTACGGCCGATGGTCGAATCTCGGATCCAGGAGGAGCAGTGTGGTTTTCGTCCCGGTCGCGGAACACTGGACCAGCTCTATACTCTCCATCGGATACTCGAGGGTTCATGGGAGTTCGCCCAACCTGTCCACATGTGCTTTGTGGATTTGGAGAAGGCGTTCGACTGTGTTCCCCGGGGTGTCCTTTGGGGGGTTCTCCGGGAGTACGGGGTCGGAGGTCCTCTGCTGAGGGCCATCCGATCCTGTATGACCGAAGCCAGAGCTGTGTTCGCATTGCCGGCAGTAAGTCAGACCTGTTCCCGGTGAATGTTGGCCTCCGACAGGGCTGCCCTTTGTCACCGGTTCTGTTCACTGTATTTATGGACAGAATATCTAGGCGCAGCCAGGGGTCGGAGGGGGTCCGGTTCGGAGACCACAGGATTTCATCTCTGCTGTTTGCGGACGATGTTGTCCTGTTGGCTCCAACGAACCAGGACCTGCAGCATGCACTGGGACGGTTTGCAGCCGAGTGTGAAGCGGCTGGGATGAGAATCAGCACCTCCAAATCCGAGGCCATGGTGCTCGACCGGAAAAAGGTGCCTTGCCCTCTGCAGGTGGGTGGAAAGGTCCTTCCTCAAGTGGAGGAGTTCAAGTATCTCGGGGTCTTGTTCACGAGTGAGGGAAGAATGGAGCGTGAGATTGACAGTGCGGATCGGTGCAGCGTGCGCAGTTATGCGGTCGCTGTATCGGACCGTTGTGGTGAAGAGGGAGCTGAGCCGAAAGGCAAAGCTCTCGATTTACCGGTCAATCTTCGTTCCCTCCCTCACCTAGCTTTGGGTAATTGAGAAAATAAGACCGTATTATCAGTTGTTTTTCATCTATTTTACTTAGTACAAATACATAAATCCACATGAGTTAATTCATAGTGTTGATGCCTTCAGTGTGAATCTACAATTTTTCATAGTGAAAAATAATGAAAATATGAAAATAAAAACAAATCTTTTTGAATGAAAGGTGTGTCCCCAACTTTTTTTATACATTGTCAATGGCGTTCATTAATACTTCTCACCTCAGATGGCAAGAGAGAACTAACTATCGGTTAGAAGACACTTTCTAGAACAACCCACCATTATCTCAGCTACTACCAAGTCTTAAGCATACTAGCTTAAACATACTTGTAAATAAAAACTTAAACTGATTGTATTTGTTATATTTTTTTTGTTCATTTTTTAGTGTGTAGTATGTAACATCTCTGTATTGCAATCCTTCAAAAGTTTAACTTTGTCCAACACATGATTAAACATTGTACCTAAATTAATTTTGTGGAGACACGTCCCATCCGAACAACAACAACACAACAACAAGCAGCAATCCACGCTACAAATCATTTCCAAACATTTATTTGAGAAGTAAGATTATAATTCTTTTTTTAAATCTCTTTTAAATATTCTTTCTAATTAATTTTCCCAGTTACCAGCACCCGGAGTGCCAAGTTTCCCAGTGGCCACTCACGACTACAGCCAGAAAGCATCAACTTACTCCTACCCCTCACAGACCCGGCCATCCCCCAGTCACTGTGCTCCCCAAGCTGGTTGCCCCCAAAGGAGAACGCCCAACCTCACCCAGCATCAGCAGCACCAGCTCAGCACATGACTTTATGAACTCCCGGACAAGTGCAAGTTCAGGGGAGAACTGATCACAGAGCACCAGCTGGGACATGTCCAAAGTGCAAGCAGACTGACACATGATGTGGTTATGTCGATGGACTAGTATCAATGAGTGGGAATGACTCATAGGAGTTACAAGTTGGATATTTTGTATTCTAAGTCTACAAGAATCCAAATAAAATAGTGATCCTAATAAATAATAAAACTAAAATTCCTAACTTTGAAACCAAAAATAACAAAAATTTAATAAATCCATAGTTATAGTTTTCTCTCTCTCGCAAAACTCTTTACTCTCCATTGATAGTTTTCACATGTAAAGAAATATTGGCCGTCTTTCACACCTTTAACTTAGCTTTTTTCAGTGATAAAAGAGAGTACTCTCTAAGTAAGCCAATCAAGCTCTCAGTATTGTAAAGACAGCATTGTTTTCTATCAGATGAAGACAGCATTTGTTTCTGCTTTGTTCACACAATGTTACTTAAACAGAATGATTAGACCTATTACATAAAAGGATTTGGCAAAAGAAGAAATAGAGACAACACAATAAATTATGTTGCCTTTATGTTTTGTGTGGCCGAATAGCAAGGAAGCGCACATCAGCCAGAGCCTCCTCCAAGCCCCCAAACCCCAGCATCCCCCTGTGGCAACCGCGCTGCAGAAGCTTCTGTACCATACATTGGTCAGGACACCGATGAGCATCAGCTTCTAAGTCAATGACGTCTTTGAACTGCACAAAGAAGTAAGGAAGGTTTGACAACCATGGGATTGAAATCATTTCATAAAGTGGGTTCTCCCCGCCCCGCTCCTCGGAGCTTACGTCACTCACATTTCCTGTTCAAATCTTTCCTCTAAATGGGCGTAGCCTGGAGGACGAAAGGGGGCGTGAAACTAGACTGGGCCCGTTACCATTGCTCTGGTCGGTGGGCGGCTGACGTCAGGTCCGCAACTTCTTGCATGTGTCGCCAGATATCCAAATTCGAAAATGTAGTAAATACAGGTCGCCAGCAGATGGCGTCCTCACAGACGGTTTTAGGCAGAAAATTCTGACTATCTCTCTCAACATAGCAACAAACAATCGGAACGAATCAACAAAAAACCAAAAAGAAAGCAAACAAGGAACCCCCCAACAGAAAACAGAACGCAAAGAAAAAAACACAAAAGGAAACCAGAAAAGGCCGAAACAAACAAAAAAAGAATAAATAAAGAATCGAAAAACGAATGAAGCGCCTCAAAAAAAGGGCAAGAAAAAAAAAAAAAAAGAAATAACCAAAATGAAAAAAAAATAACGGAATGGAAAAAAAAGTAAATCAGCAAAACCCAAACGAAAAGATACAAAAAAAACAACAAATCAAAGAATAAACCAGAAAAACAAACATCAAACATACAAGCAAACATAACAGGAGGGCCAGGAGGAAAAGAAGAGATAGTCAAACTTTCTGCTAAAAACGTCTGTGAGTCGCCATCTGCTAGGCGACCTGTAATACTACATTTGAATTTTGAAATCTGGCGCCAACACTGCATAAGAAGTTGGAACCTGACTCAGCCGCCCCCGCCCCGAGAGCAATGTAAACGGCCCAGTCTCGTTCACGCCCCCTTATAGTCCTCCATGCTACGCCCATTTAGAGAAGATTTTGAACAGGAAAAGTGAGTGAACGTAAGCTCCGAGTAGCGGGGGGTAGAACCCCTTTAAGAAAAATGCTTTCAATCCATGGTAGTCAAACCTTACTTACCTTCTTTGAGCAGGTTCAAAGACGTCATTGACTTCGAAGCTGATCTCATCGGTGTCCTGACCAATGTACTGGTACAAGCTCGGCAGCGCGGTGCCTTACAGGGGGAGGTCTGGGGTATGGGGCTGGAGGAGGCCTCTGGCTGATGCTGCGCTTCCATCTGCTTGCTGCACACAAAACATAAAGGCAAACATATTTATTGTGTTGTCTCTATTTTCTTCCTTTGCCCCCCAAAACCTTTATTAATAGTCCAATCATTCCTTGGTTTAAGTAACATTTTGTGAACAAATCAGAACACAACATGCTGTCTTCATCTATAGAAAACATGCTGTCTTTTTTTTACATACTGAGAGCTGATTGGGCTTAGAGAGGTACGTCTCTTTTTCACTGAAAAAGGCAAAGTACAAGGTGTAGAAAGAGGCAAAAATACATAACAGGTGAAAACCTATCAGATGGAAGTAAAGATTTGAGAAGAGAAACAATAACTAAGGATTTATTAAATTTTTGTGGTTTTCAAAGTAGGCTATTTTAGTTTTATTATTTTTAGATCACTTTTATTTGGGATACTTGGTTTAGACTTTAGAATACACAAAATCCAACAGTATCTCCTTGAGTCATTCCCACTCATTGTTTACTAGTCCATCCGACATAACCACATCATGTTTGGGTCAGTCTGCTTCACTTTGGGACATGTCCCGCTGGTGCACCCTGTGACTTTCTGTGCTCACCTGACATGCCCTGGTCCGGACGTTCATAAAGGTCCATGTTGCTGTGCTGCGTGCTGATGCTGGGTGTGGTTGGGCGTTCGCCTTGGGTGCCCAGCTTTGTGAGCACAGTCTGGGGGATGGCCCTTGTCCGGGAGGGTGGGGGGGGGGGAGGAAAGTGATGCTTTCTGGCCTGAATGTGCTTGCACGGGGAAACTTGCACCTCCGTCTGGTAAACTGGGGAAAATTATATTAGAAAGAATATCAAAGATATTTAAAAAAAAGAATTATAATTACTTCTCAATAAATGAGAAAAATGGATTTAGTAGCTTGATTGCTGCTTGTTGTCCAGTGTTGTGTGTTCGGGAATAGGTGACGGTGTCTCACAACACTTTTATTTAGAGTAACAATGTTTAATCAATGTGTTGGACAAATTAACTTTTGAAGAGATAGCATACAGAGATGTTACATACATACACACACTAAAAAATTACATCAAAATATAAAACATACAAACATTATAAGTTTTTTTTACAAGTATGTTTAAGCTATATGCTTAAAGAATTTGTATTAGCTTGTGATAATGGTGGGTAGTTCAGAAGTGTATAACATATTCGGACTCCTCTTCCCTATCTGAAGGAGAGAATTAAATATGAAAGCCATTTGACATCTGTTATAAAAAAAGTGGACACACCTTCTCATTCAAGATTGTTTTTCTTTTCATATTTTCATTATTTTCACTTGCAAATTGTCGATTCACACTGAAGCATCAACACTATGAATAACTCATGTGGAATTATGTATGTACTTAAGTAAAAAAGTATGAAACAACTGAAAATATGTCGTAGATTCTAAGTTCTCTCAAAGTAGCACCGTTTGGCTCCTATTTCTGCTTCCACACTCTTGGGCATTCTCATGATGAGCTTCAAGAGTATGATTAGAAAAGTCTTCATCAGTCTTGAAGGAGATCCCTGAGATGCTTAGCATTTGTTTGCCCCTTTCACCTTCCTCTGGTCCAACTCATCACAAAACCATCTGGATGCCTCCACAGGTCTGGTGACAGGGGAGGGCCGGGTAAACAGCCCTTACACAGGCAGGAGATTGAATCTACAACTCATGAATGACAAGCTCCAAACATATTGGTCCTGTACTGTATAGTCCAGTCTGTCTGTCTGTATTGACGTAGTTCAGTGATCTCAAAGAGTGGTATCGCGTAAATCACTGGTACGCGTGGCTCCCTCTAGTGGTATGCAAAAATGAAAAAAATAAAATATATAGAGATTATATATATAAATAGTATATATATAAATCTATAATATATTTAGGGCTGTCAAACGATAAATTTTTTTAGTTGATTAATGATAGTAATGGTGAGTTAACTCACGATTAATCGCATTTTTAACATTTCTATTTCAAACCACTCCAAATGAAGTTGAATGAGATTTTCAAATGTCAATCGACACATTTTTTATTTCCTTAGCCAACTGTTACTTAAAGAGTAACTAAACACCAAATCAACTTTTTTTACTTATAACACTGCCTAAATATGTTTCCTATAGATGCTCCCTACCTGTCCTGGTCATATATTTGACATTTTTATCCAAATTATTAAAATCTCACTTTTGAGCCTAAACCGTCTGTGTGGCGCCCTCTCTATGGTTTTTCCGTGTCACTACATTTGAATTTTTGTTCCTGGACTCGTCCCCTTGTCTCTTGAGTTCCCTAGTTTCTGTGACCGCAGTCTTCCCCGAGCCTCTGCTATAATTCTGTTTGAACTGCTCACAACCTTCTACTTATTGGGTACAACCAACATATTGGACCCAATGGCAATAATGCGTTATTTATATTTTTACGCGTTAATGAAACGGTAATGTAACGTGAATCTAACGCGATAATTTGGACAGCCCCCTAATACTATATATATATATATATATATAATATAATATTATTATTTTTTTGTTTGGTGTTGGGGGGGGGGGGGGGGGGGGGGGGGGGGGGGGGGGTGGGGGGGGGCTGTGATTCTAACCAGGAAAGTCCCATTGAGATTAAGGACCTCTTTTTCAAGGGAGTCCTAAATAAAAGTCACATACAATTACCAGATTACTGGACTGGTTTTCAAAGCAAGTGCTATCCTGTAGTGTATCCTTTGCTTTCTGGTACAGCTAACTCTTGTGCAGAATTGTCACAGTTCATCTCTGGGTTTGGGAGACGTCGACGTGGTTCAGTTGAGGACTGGAACAAACGTTGAACTCTCATTGGTTTTCTTAGTCAGTGAAATAACTTAGTTGAAAGCACTCCTAGCGGAGTTACCGAGCTCTATAATACGTATAGAGATATGTAGGGCTGGGAGGAGGGTCTCCTTGGTTGATGTTGGCTGCGGAGGGAGGTCACTTGAAGTACCAGGTTGGTCCAAGCAAGCTAGGTGCTGCTGATTTAAAGAGTCTGAACCGCCTGAAAAATCGTTGGATCACGGTCCGGTTAGGCAACGTCTATATGCAGGGGTGAACTGGGTGTCACCAAAGCCAAAATTGAGTCAGCCATTTGGCAGTTGTCCTGACTCCACTCCTTTCACCTGGTGATCAAGTGATGGGATTTATGTCCTATTATAAGATCAACGTACAAGCAAAATATTACGGTTACGGTTCTTGAAAAAACATGGTGAACAAACTATTTTGAACGTGAAGCCCGAACGCAGGAAGAGGCACAGTTGTTCATGTCCAACTTTTTGAACATTTTCAATGTCATTTCAAGTTCAGTTAAATCGTATTGCGCAATCATGCGGTAGGGCTTCTTCCCTTCTTCCCTTGCCTAGGCACTAGCAGGTTGCGTGTCCAGCATGCAGAAATAAACACTGGCAGAGGAAGGATCCTCACCACCCACCCGTGCGAAGCCACACCGGGACAGCACGTGGAGAGCCAGTCCCTGGCCGTAATAGACGCTTAAGTGCCGTAAGGTGGATGGATGCCAATACTTGTCGGCTTTCGGGAGGGGACCGCTGCGGCTACAAAGCAGCTAAATATCAGTTCAGGGACGAACTGAAAGCCCAATCCCCGCACAGAGATATAAACAACTCTTCTTGAGGCTGCACCCCCGCAAAGCTCCGGGCCCGGACCAAGTGTCTCCAGCCACTCGGAGACACTGCGCGAGTGAGCTAAACTCCTGGGTTGTTCACTGACTATTTTTCAACTCCTCTCTGCAGTCCAGCATGTCCCGGCCTCTTCAAATCCTCCATCATTGCCCCCGTCCCGAATAAGCCCCAGGATCACAGGACTCAATGACAACTGACCTGTAGCACTTACGTCCTGTCGTCATGAAGTATTTGAACGCCTGTCCTCTCCATCTCAAGTCCATCACCTCCCCCTCCTGGACCCCCTGCAGTTCGCCTACAGAGCCAACAGATCTGTAACACACGCAACACCTGGCCCTCCACCACATCCACAGCACTTGGACTCCCGGGACCTACGCCAGGTCCTGTATCTGGACTAAGCCTCTGCCTTCACCACGATCCTGCCATCCTGGCTCCGACAAGCTCTCCCGCGTCCCCCCCAAAAACGATTGCCGTTTCCCACCTGCAGGTGGATCACTGACTTCCTGCCAACAGGAAAGCAGCGAGTGCGTCTGGGGAAAATGTCTCGGACTCTCGATTATTAAATACAGGAGCCCCACCGGGCTGTGTTCTTTCTCCCCCTGCTCTTTTCCTTGTAACACCAACCACTCGCCCCTCCACCACGACTCTTGTGAAGCTGCTCAAGTTCGCGATGGACACATCCCTCATTTGCCTCATCTCCAAGAAAGATGAGTCCGCTACAGGAGGGAGGTGGACCGGCTTGTGTCCTGGTGCAGTGGTAACAACCTGGAGCTGAACGCCCAGAAGACAGTGGAATGATTGTTGACCTTCAGGAAGAGCACTGTCCCCCCGCCCCCACCTTCCGTGATGGACCTCCCCATCCCCGTTCACTGGGCACCACCATCACCCAGGACCCTCAAGTAGCTGACCATCAGCTCCCTCATCAAGAAGGGCCCAGCAGAGGATTACTTCTGCATCAGCTCAGGAAAGTCCAGCTGCCTGCACAGATTTGTGGCAGGTTCTACACGGGCCATCATACGAGTCCAGCCTCACCTCCTCCGTCACCGGGAGTGGTATCGCTGGAGCCACTGTCAGGGACTAACAGAGACTACAGCGCATTGTGCGCTCTGCATAGGAAGTGATTGGCCGCAGCCTTCCATCGCTGCAGGACCTGTACGTCCCCCCCGAGCTCAGAGGCCGGCTGGTCGTATCACAGCCGACCCCTCTCACCGGCACATGGCCTATCCAACCACTCCCTTAGCAGGAGACTGCGGTCCATCAGCCTAGAACCTCCCTCACAAGAACAGATTCTTCCCCTCTGCTGTTTGACCTCTTGAACACTTCTTAACCTGTCCCCCCGCCCTTTAAAAAAGTCACTTGACTGCCCATCATACGTCACTTACTTCACTGTATTCTGCTGTCACCTTACATTGGTTGCACCATGTGCACTTGTATATTGTAAAATAGTAACGTTAACTCTATTCTAATTTTAAATGTATCCATAGAAGTGTGTTTTTATTCTTTATTTTTAGTTTATTTTATTATTTCCTCTGACAGTTCAACCTGAGCCGAAGCAATTCCAAGTCAGTGACTTCCTGTTACTTACTTGGCATAAAAAGTATGTCTGATTCTGATAAGAGTATGCAAGAAAATGCCCCTACGAGGGTTCTGGAACATAGGCCGTTGTCTCTTCCCCCTTCTGTTTATGTTACGGCCTAAGCGGGTCGTAACAATAGACAAAAGTTAATTTTCCAGTTCCTGTGCGGGCAAAGGGAACAGAGAACAACAAAAATCATTGATCGCAAACCATATGAACCAACATCTCATTTTGTAGTAATGCAGAAGTACTGTACAGAGGCCATCAGACCAAGCCCTAATAAACAAAAGTGCACCCGTGTCCAAACCTCTGTGGACAAAGAAGGCCAATCCCACTCGAGGATTTAATTCACAGGGGATCAAGGCTTACAGTTTGTAAGAATTGAAAATTTTAAATTGAATCATTATTTAAGTACAGTTATTTAGGTTTTTTCTTTCTCCTATTATTTAAGCACAGTATGGTACTGTTTGAAAAATGAGTAAAATGTTACAATTGGCTCCACAATATTAAATATACATCTTGTAGAATGAAACCTCTGCCTTGTTCTTGATGAATACATAGGCTTACTACGCAACGGTATAGGTGGTTTGGTCGTTTTTGGTGTACTTGAGAGGATCGTATTTTCTGAGGTGGTACATGGTGCAAAAAGTTTGAGAACCACTGCTATTTAGATGCCATCTGCCGAAAGCTGTACAGAATGTGAATTTCAATATTTCTTGTGTGTGTTAAAAAAAATGGACCTGTTACGTGGTTGCGTGTTGGTTATCGTGTGATCTGAGTCTGAGCGTGTCCTTCCTCATAGTGGAGGAGTTAACAGTCACTTAGGTCTTGTTCTCAGTGAGGAAGGATGAGCAATGAAGTGAGATATCAGAACGGAATTGTGCAGCATGCGTGTGGTAATGCGAGTCACTGTATCAGAATTGGCCGGTGAAGAGACAGCAAAGCTCAATAAATGGTCCCACCTAGCTAATGATTCATTTAGCAAATGCACGTATGTAAATAGTTACCTAGTAACTTAAGTTCTACGAATAGGTAGGCGGTAGCCCTAGGAACTTCGCTAGTGGGGATATCGCTCGTGACCCCATCACACGCCGAAGAGATCAAAATAATTGCTCCCATCACCAAGCCACGCCACCTCTATAAAGGCCCGCCCCTGCCACACAGCCGCACCCCCTCTTGAAACTCGCCAAGCCGGCTGGCCTGATGGGCTCGTAGCTAAGGGACTCACGCACCTATTCCGTAGAACTTAAGTTACATTAGTAACTATTAATTCTACGTCATGGTGCTAACGTCCCCTTAGTACTTCGATAGTGGGACACTGACGTGGACTACCTGACTGCGACCAACAACAAACCAAGTACCGCAACCTGTAGGATGCCGTCTCCCTGAGCTCCCAGAACCATGGCGGGAAATTCAACCGAAGGCCCCCTCAGAGGAGGACCTAACGGTTTAACCTCAGTCCGCTGCACTCAGCACGGAATGGGCCACCGACCGGTCTCCCTGACACTTCCAAAAGATAATCCCGGACGAAAGAAGAGGACGCCGCCCAAGAAGCCGCACGCAGACGTCCTGACCGAACGCCCCTGAGGAGGCCGGAAGAGGGCCGCCACCCCACCGTGTGGGGAATGCCGACCTGAAGCCCACCGGGTGGCAGACCCTGCTCTGGATACGCCCGCCGCACAGCCGTGGCAACCCAGTGCGCCAGCCGCTGAGCCGACTGCAGGGGCGCCCCTTTTTCGTGGTGCCCAGACCACACAAACCTGGAATGACGACGTCATGGCCAATAATGCCTCAGCATTCTGACAGACACAGAAGGTGCGCCGCTCCTCCTCGGGGAGGCATGCGGTGGCGATAGAACGCCCATAATCCTGATGACCTCGACCTAAAGGCCGACGTGATGCCGCTTTGGGAGAAAGGCCGGATTGGGTCCCCACAATACCACCATGCAGGTCGCCCTCGGCAAAGGACAGGCAAGACGCATGGACAGAGAGCGCACACAAGTCGCCCGCCCTCTTAGCAGACGCCAACGGGGGCCAGCAAGAGTGGCCGCTAAAAAAGCGACAACCTCGGACTCGCCTCCGACGCCGGTTCAAAAGGCGGACACGACTGCCCCCTAAGACCACCCTGAGTCCCCAAACCGGCGGCGTTCTCAGAGCGGGGCTCCTCCTCGCGCCCCCCCCAGAAACGTTTTAACCACCGGATGAGAAACGGCTGTGAACCCCCCCAATCCTCGTGGACCCGATGTATATGTCTGCCGCGAACACCGCCAAGTGGCGACAGCCCTCCCATTGTCAAAAAGCATTCTGTATGAATCCCAGGACCCCCTCCAGCGGGCAACGCCTGGATCCCAGAACAGAGAACCACACCAGTCCTGCAGAGGCCTCCACCTCGTGCTAGGCCCCTCACAGTGGAAGGCGCCCTCGCCCCCTGAATGGTCTCCACCACCGCAGGGGAAGACGCCAGGTCTAACGAGGTCCGCCTCTCAGCCTCCAAACCCAGAGCCTGCGGACGATTATCGGCGTGAAAACAGGGTTTTCCCCCCCCCTGGACTAGACCCCCTGCTCGTCCGGGAGGCCAGGGCTCCATCACCGCCAGCCCCTCAGAAGGGGACCCAGCGTCTGCTGATACTGTCCGGAGTCCACCAGGGATCACCTACCTCCTCTCCTGTTCGATCCTCCGCAGCAGGACCGCAGGAAGACGCAGCTGGTGTGAAAGCGCACAGACAGGCCCTCTGGCCAGGGTAATGAGCCAGAGCGCCCATGCCTAAGAGGCGGGCTCGACCCGCGGCCCTTAAGGCGAACCAGGACGGGCACTGTGCGTTTTCTGCACTGGCGAAAGGTCCACCACTGACGGCACGAACCTCGCCAGATCTCCGCAGCTACCCGTGGGGCCAGGCCCCACGCGTCCTGGATGGGCCCCCCCTGGACATCCGTCCGGCCCCACGTTCCGGACCCCCGGGACGTGGCGCCGCCTGGATAGAAACATGAGGTGAAGCCTGCCCACATCGCAGCGTCACCGTCGCCATGCGATGGTGGTGGCTGTCGGGAGAATTGCAGAGCTTAACCCCTGCGCAATGTTTTTCTCAGCCATAGATCTGTCAGCAAACCTTGCATCCATCCCGATGCTGTAGAAGTCCTGTGAGGGGCGGAACGGGAGCTGGAACACGAGACGTCA